GAGTTTCGAGCTGGGTTTGGTATTTGAGACATCTGCTGCTGCTTCTTTTTTTTCGCGTTTTTGTTTGTCTCGTGTTTGTTTTTTTTTTAATTTGCGGATGTCTATTAGCTGCCAGCTGCAGCAATACGATCGTCTTGCTGCTGCGTGGATACCAGCAGAAGCAGCAGCAGCAGCAGCAGCAGCAGCAGTACCAGCAGCAGCAGCAACAGGAAGTGGAACTGCTGCTGCAGCAGCAGCAGCAACTGCAGCAGATGCAGCAGCAACTCCAGCAAGAGCAGAACTCAGAGAAAAAGATGATTGCGATGAGGCTTTTGTTCTTATCTATGCATGCAGCAGCAGCAGCAGCAGCAGCAGCAGCAGCAGCAACAGCAGCAGCAGCAGCAGCAGGGGAGATGGCGATGCAGCAGAAGCAAAGTTGCAAGCAGCAAGTACTGCTGCAGACAGCAGCAGCAGCAGCAGCAGCAGCAGCAGCAGCAGCAATAAAGGCAAAGGTGCAGCAAAGGAGAGCAGCAGCAGCACAAAGAATAAAGCAGCAGCAGCCAGCAGCAACAGCAGCAGCAGCAGCAGCAGCAGTTTATCTGCAGCAGCAGCAGCAGAAGAAGCCTCAGCAGCACCATCATCCCCATCAGCAGCAGCAGCACAGCAGCAACCACAACAACCACCATCACCATCACCATCACCAGCAGCAGCATCACCAGCAGCAGCAGCAGCAGCAGCAGCAGCAGCAGCAGCAGCAGCAGCAGAAGAAGAAGAATCTATAGGTTTACCTCTTTGTTATATTAGGGTTTCTTATGATGAGTTTGTGTTTGCTGCTCCGCAGCAGCAGCAGCTGCAGTGGTGGGGTGTATCTCCAGCTGGTGATCGTCGTCTCTATAGAATAACTTTTGCTGCTGCTGCAGCAGCAGCAGCAGACCAGCAGCAGCAGCAGCAGCAGCAGCAGCAGCAGCAGCAGCAAGAGGGCAGCAGGTTCCTGCAGCTGTATGCACTAACCCTAGCTGAGGTGAGCAGCAAATGTAGGTTTTCTGTCGATATAGAAATAGAAAAACAAATCGGATATCTGGGAGAGTTTGATACTAAACCAGCAGGTAAACCCTAAACCCTAAACCCTAAACCCTCAAAAACCCTAAACCCTAAACCCTAAACCGTAGAGCAGTTAGAGGTAGGAAACGCTAAACCCTAAACCTTAAACCCTAGAAAAACAAATCGGATATCTGGGAGAGTTTGATACTAAACCTGCAGGTAAACCCTAAACCCTCAAAAACCCTAAACCCTAAACCCTCAAAAACCCTAAACCCTAAACCCTAAACCCTAGGATAGGTATAGGTTTTAATTTGATAGGAAACGGAGAGGTAGATGCTAAACCCTAAACCCTAAACCCTAGAAAAACAAATCGGATATCTAGGAGAGTTTGATACCAAGCCAGCAGGTAAACCCTAAACCCTAAACCCTCAAAAACCCTAAACCCT